TCCACCTGGCCTCTGTGGGTCCTGTGGGGGATGAGGACAGGGCTGAGCCCCTGAGGGCCCAGCACAGCTCTTCCCGGCGATGCCCGCTGTTCCACCGTAAAGCCTGCAGACAGCAGGTGTCTGGGCTTGTGTGGACGGGACCTGCACACTTACAGGGAGCTGGCCTGTGTCCCTCAGGGTCCCCTCTGCTGCTGGCCCTCAGACCTCAGCCACACCTGTGCCCAGTGCCTGCTCTGACCTTGGCAGGCCCTCCCTGCTGAGAGCTGAAAGGCAGGATGCCTGCCACCTGCCTTCTTGCGTCCTGGACTGGAAGGGCGTGAGCTCTGTTCTTGTGCCCTCCTGAGCTCCTGACCCCGCCTGTTCACACGCAGCATGCCCCACGCTCCTCCTCTGCGAAGTGCTGCAGGTCCCCTCCCTGTTCTCACCCCTGTTCTCACGGCAGGCATCCTGGGTGGCCGAGTGTGTGGACGAGGAGGCTTGCCGGGATACTTGCAATGGATACTGTATCCAACACGTGCAGGAGGAATTGACACAGTGAGGGACTCTGAGCTCTAATGGCATCCCACCCTGCCATCTCCAGGTCGGGCAGCCTTGTGCTGTCCCAGCTCCTGTGGCTGGTGGTCTTTGGCATCCTCTGGCCGCGGCCGTGTTGCTCCAGGCTCTGCCTCCCTCGGCCTTTCTCAATGGCGACACAGTTGCCGGTTGGAGGGCTCTCCCTGCATCCAGATGACTTCAGCATCCCTAACCAATCGCAGAACCTGATTTCCAAATAAGGTCAAGTTCACAGACGCCAGGAGCCAGGACTGGGTGTTGCTTCGGGGACCAGTCCCGCCTGCTGCACCCGGAAACCCATCCCCTGACACCCAGGAAGGTGTCCAGCCCAGCACAGCTGGGCTCATTCCCTAGTTAGCATCACAGCTTCTGCTGGACCCCCACTCACTCCTGCATTCAGGTCTTGGACCAAAACTCAGTCCTAGTGGACCGAGAGAAAATGGTAGCTGTTTGGCCTCACAGATACCGTCCCAGCCCGGATCCATACATCTCGGTGCTTGAACTGCCCGTGACTGTACCACGGGGCAGGCAGAGCCGCTGGGGTGCACGTGTGCCTGCCAGCCCAGGCCTGACTCACTGTGGCCTTTGGCCTCCCTCCAGGTTCAGGTATAGCTGCCAACAGAGCGTTTCCAGGGTCCGACAGACCCTGCCCCAGATAACACTGCTGGTTCCTGGATCCAGAAGTGGGCAGCCTGCCCTGCAGGCCGCGTGGCACCTGGCCACCGGTGGCTGTGCGAGGCCGGTGCGAGGCCGGTGTCGGGTCCTGCCAGGGTATGAGGGCACTGGGCCCAGAGACTGGCCAGCCCAGAGTTCTCCTGAGCCCTCATCTTCTCGGGAGTTGCTTAGCCAAGCGCAGGGTGCTGGGCCTCTTGGGTGACCATGGACACGGAGCCTGCTCGTGGTCTCCACTCGGTGGCTGCTGGGAGAGGTTCCCCATGGGCTGTGACTCGCAGAAGCCGACTTGGTTCCTGCACGGACACCTGCCATGTTTCCTACGCAGCCAGAAGCATCTCTTCCATCTTTGTACAAACCAGAGACAAGTGCTTGCAGCTTCCTGGCGTGTGTTGTGGGCATGATAGATCTGCGCTGTGAATGGCCAGGGTGTAGACGGTGTCTTCCGTGTTGGTGTGGCATGTCATACTTGGCGGCTGGGTGCCCAGCGCCCACTCCGCTTTCAGAGCTCCTGCAAAGCGGGGCTTGGTCTGCCCGCCCCCTGCCCTGCTCGGGAGACACGCGTGAAGAGGACCTGCCGTGTGACCCCTTGTTGCTCAGTCAGCGAGCAGAGGTGGGCATTGCGCCATGCAGGGAGATTCAGAGAGGAGTACGGGGGGCAAGACTTTGGTCCCAAGGAGCCCACGGTGACTGCCTCAGGCTCACCCGTGCCTCACACGCCGTGGTGAGAGGCGCCCTGAGCAGACTGCTTGGGGGAGGGGGATCTGTGAGAGGTCCCGGGGGGCTTTGGGCTGTGTCTGGAGACATCTGGGCAGGGGTGGGCTCCAGGACAGCCTGGGGAGGCTGTGTGTGTCACCTCCGTGACAGCCTGTCAACCAGCACAGGGCTCCTCGGCCTTCTCCAGGGAGCAGGGTGAGGGTGAGGGTTACAGTTAGGGGGTTCCTGATGTGGCTGCTTGGGGTGGGGACCATGCAGAGCTGTGACCGCGGACAGGGCCGGCCCAGCGCTCCTGCCTGCCCTGCATTCCCTGGGGCCCGGGGCTGCCTTTCCTCTGCTCTCCGGTCTCCGAGACCTGCATTCAGCTGGCATGCACAGTGCTGGGTGCGCCTCCTCTCGGGGCCTTCTTCCATGCACCCTCCAGGTCTTCCTGGCCACCCCGAGTTTGTTCCCAGGCCTGGGTGCGTGCTGTGGGCACTTGGGGAGGCTTGCAGGGGGAGGGCACCGACCCCGAGCAGCAAACCCCAGCCTCTCAGGAATGGAATGTCTGCTCTCTCTTTGGAACCCTCAGAGCAAAGATCGGGTTTGCACCCACTAAGCAGGCAGATAAACTGAGGCTCGGAGTAACCAGACTGGCATGTGAGCTGGGATTGAGCCCCGCGCATGTTTGTGAATGAATGGGTACTGGTGGGCAGACGGGGCTGTTTTAATCATGTGGTCACACTGCAGGGAAACACAGTGGAAGCCATTGGGGTCCTCTGAGTCGGGGCCACACCAGGGGTCCCCTCACAGGTGTGTGCCAGTAGGTGCTCAAGGACGTGGTAAGGCAGGAGGGCCTCCTGGCGGAGGTGGGGTCAGTGTCTCACACGTAGCACATGCCTGGTGGGCCGAGGGTGGTGGTGGGGGTGTCTCATTCTGGTCCCATCTGAGGACCCCTTTAAATACGCAGAGCAGAGTCCTGGGGCTGAAGGTCAGAGTGACCTTGAGGTCATACAAAAGTGCTTCCCAAAGCTCTCACAGGGCCAGCAGGCTCACGGGCCACCCCAAACATGGCCAGGTCATGGGGACAGTGACAGGAAGTGAGGCAAGGTCCTGGGGGTGGACCTAGACCCGCAGGGACTGCATGCCATGATTGTGTGACAGGGTCACTGCAGAGCTGGGCAGAGGCGGCTGTCCCCTGTCACCTGTGCCCCCAGCACCCATGGTGGGGCCTCCTCTGCACTGGCACTTTTGGCCTGTCCCGCAGGAGAGCGTGGAGGGCGGAGTGGAGCTTGGCACGGGCTGCCGTGAAGCGGGCTCTGGGCAGGCAGGCGGCCTGGCCTCTGAGAAGCGGGGAAGGGAGGGGCAGCCAGCAGAGGTTCCCCCTGAGGGGCAGGAGTCCATGTTGTCCCTGGAGGTGGCAGTCCTTGCAGGGCCCCTCGCCTCTGGCCACAGGCGCCGACCGCTCGCGGCTGCCCTCAGCCGGTAGCTGCGGTCGCTGGGATGGCTCCCTGGGGTGCGGTCAGAACACCACACCACCATGACCACACCCCACAGATCCCACGAGCCTGAGTGTCCTCACCGCGTGGGGTGAGATGGAGCCCCTTGAGAACGGTGCCACAGCCCCCATCTGCCAGCCCCGAGCTAGTGGGGCCAGGTGGGCTGCAAGAGGCTGAGTCCAGAGGGACTCGGGTCAGCCTGGGTTCCCTGGGCGGGAGGTACAGCTGGGGTCGGGCTGCACTCCGCAGCCTCAGCTGGCAAGGGCCTGTGCGGGGTCTGGCATGGTGGGGGCACCGGGGACCCCTGCGAGCTCTCAGCCAGCACCCTGCCTCCCTGCCTTGTCTGTGGAATGGGGACCGCTTGCTCCGGGTTCCGCCCCTGCCCAGGGCCGCCCAGACTGGGTGTGCCAGCTGCCCTCGGCGGTGGGGCCAGCCGCAGCCCTCTTTGTCTGGACCCCTTGTCCTGGGGTCCTTTCTCGCTCAGCTCCCAAGGCCTTGGGGAAAGCCCTTCTCGCAGCACTTGCTCCTTTCCAGGCCTCTCCAGATCCCAACTTGCTTCCGGGCCAGCAGCAGACACCTGGTTGAGGTGGGGAGGAGTGGGGGAGGCTGCAGCAGCCGCCCTGCCCTCCTGGGGGCTTCTGGGGGTGACCCTCGGATGACAGAGTGCCCTCAGGATCAAGGAGGACAGGTTGCCGTGATGGGAGCCAAGTTGGAGTTTCTATTTTCTTGCCTTTAAAAAAAAAATGCCACATCAGCGGGCAGGTGGCAGGCAGCAGCGGGGCCCCCTGCCCCCCACCTGGCTCCTCTGGCCTGGCGCCCCCGAGGCCCAGCCCCGGAGCCCTGCGCTGCGCTCCCCCGCCCGGGCGGCTGCCTCGAGCCCAGCCTGCGGAGCCTCTGCGCGGGATGACGCCCAAGCAGCCGCTGCCCGAGGTACTGGGCTCGTCAGATGACTGTGGGGGCTCCTGCCGCACATCACACTCGCTAGGACGGGCGAGGGAGGGGGCGCTGGCTGCGCGCACAGGTCCTGCGTCTCCGCCGGCTCGTGCAGGGAGCGCACGGAATCGCATCCCTTTAACCCCTCCGGAGGAAAAGCGAAAACGGAACTGCTGCCTCATTTCTCCTCGGGCTGATTTCCTTGGGCTTCCCTGAAAGATGCGTGTGGCCGGGCCAGGCCGAAAGAGTCCGTTCACGCCGCTGCCGCCGCTGCCACCGCTGCCACCGCCGCCGCCCCCCGGGCCACTTACTTTCTCAGCTCTGGGCCGCCCCCGGGGGCGCTGAGCCCGCCTCGCCAAGGCCCGGGCAGCGCGCACCGCACCATGTGCCACTGCCTCCCCGGGCTGGCTCCGCCTGCCCCGCGCTGCCGGTCCCTTTGTGCCCTGCTCGCCTACCCCGCCAGCCGCCCTCTGCGCCGCCGCCGCGCCGGCACCCTCTCCGCCTAGCTGCCTCCATGCTGCCGCGGCCGGCCGGAGAGCCGGGGGATGAATCGGCCGTGATGCTGAGCGCGCCGGGCGGAGGAGCAGCGGCCGCCGTGAGGATGACGGGCTACAATCATGGTCGCTCTCCCCGGAATTCTCTCTACAGCGACTGCCTCATCGAGGAGAAGACGGTGGTGCTGCAGAAGAAAGACAGCGAGGGCTTCGGCTTCGTGCTCCGGGGGGCCAAAGGTAGGGGCCGAGAGGCTGGCGTGCCCGTGTGTGTGTGTGTGTGTGTGTGTGTGTGTGAACAATGCCACTCGGCCTGCAGACTCGCTTGCACTAAGCATTTTTCCGGGGGGCACCTGGTTGCTAGACAACCGTGTTCTTTAATATTCTGCCTCACTCGGAAAACACCGGGGCTTCCTTTAGGAATAACTCTCATTTTCCATACACAATATTGCTCTGAAGGGACTCCCCCATCCACTCTCTCTTTCTCTCTGCTGCCCCCTCCCCCAGCTTTCTTTGATTCCCAGAGATAACTGCTGTGCCTCGGCACAGCTCGGCCGGATTGTGGCTCCGCTCAGCGCTCCTGGTCTCAGAAGCCCCCCGGCCCCGCCCCGAGCTGCAGGTGTCTTGAAGCCACCCCACAGTGGGGGTGGGCGTCCGCTCTGAGGCCAGCAGGCGGCTGGGTCCCTGTCTCTAAGGTGACTTTGCAAAGGGAGTGTGGCAAGATGGTCCCCTCTCCCGTGGACAGGGCTGGCGACTCACGTGGTCTGTGGCCTGTGGTGGAAGGCTCCAGTGCTGTCCATGGCAGGGTCCCCACTGCCTGCCTGCCAGAAGAGACCCCTGTCCCCTGTGTGTGTGTGTGTGTGTTGCAAAGAACTGTGTGAAGTTGCATTTCAGAATCTGTGCAGGGCCGGGGGCTTGCACCTGCGCCTCAGGAAGCGACATGGCCACTTCCACCCGTGTGCAACCCCAGGGTGGCCTGCCCAGAGAGGGTGGGCGAGCCAGCCCTGACACCCGGGGGTACAGCCGTGGCTGCTGAGCAGTGTGCCACCCTTCCCCCGCCATGTCGCTCTCCCCGCCCCCTCTTGACGGCCTGGGAAAGTCCAGTTCCGGCCGTGGAGTTGCTCGCGGCAGCTGTGTGGGCCCTGGAAGCCAGGCCTCACTTTGCTGAGAAGCAAAGAGTGGAACAGTCCCCGTGTGGACGCCAGCCACTGAGAGCCGGCCCCCCGGAGTGGGCACGCGTGAGCAGAGATCCCCATGTGTGGCCGCCCGCGGGTCAGCGCTGGGCACGACACACCTTCCAAGTTGAAATCCCTGGGCAGTGAGTCCTCACGGACGTCACTGGGGCAAGTGGCACCGTGTGGTGGTGTAGCTGTCGCTCCGTGTGGCACGGTGGGAACTTTTCCATTTTTAGAGCCAAAAATGTTTAGTCACTGATGCATTTAAAGAGAACGCCAAGCCCGTTGCCTCGTCCCGCAGAGCCCGGCCCTGCCCCGTGGCTTCAGCGTGGAGGCCGAGAAAGATGGTGACCCAGCCTGCAGCCCACGGCCGTGCCCAAGTTGGTACTGACTGCGGACAGGAGGCCCTCCGGTTCTTCCTGGGGCAGCTCCTCTCCCAGTTGGCGCAGGACCCCCTGACTCCCACAAGGAGGTCAGGCTTGGCCACCTTACGCAACACTCCCCACCCTCAGGCCTGTAACAAGTGGCTCATTTCTTCCAGCCGACACGCCCATTGAAGAATTCACACCCACGCCGGCATTCCCAGCCCTGCAGTACCTGGAGTCTGTGGACGAAGGCGGGGTGGCATGGCAAGCCGGACTGCGGACTGGGGACTTCCTGATTGAGGTAGGGATCCAGGTGTTTGTATTGTCATTGCGTGGAGAGAGCGCCGCCTCTCGTCTGGGCGAAGGGTCCATGGTCTCGGCTGCGTGGCTGTGGGAGCAGGCTGTTGCCGCTGCGGGAGATGGCCGTGGGCTCGTGCTGGTTCATGGTGGGGCCTGGGGTCCCTGAAGCAGAAAAGACATGTGGGAGCTAACCCCTGGTCTTGAAGTGGAAGGTGGAAAGAAGACACGCTGGCCATGAGGTTGGGGACACGTGTGGGTCTGTGGCCATCTTGATGTGACTGACGGTTAGCACCCACTGTGTGTCCCCAGGGCAGGTCACCATGCTTCTTTGTGGCGTTTGCTGGCGTGAGGTTAGTGAGCGGTGGCTGATAGCCCGTGGATTGGCAGTTGTCAGAGAGGCCTGGGCAAGATGGGCAGCGGCCAGAGCTGATGGCACAGAGGCAGTGTCTGAACGTGGGTCCACCAGGAGCTTAGCATGAGAAAGGAGTGCCAATTCATGCTGGCTGAATCCACTGTAGGGTAGCAAGGCCGTGGCCTGGAGCTGGCACTCGCCAAGGCTGGGATGTGGGCTTTTGCTTCTGTCTCATTGGCAAAACGAGGTTTGAAGGGGCTGTTGCTGGCTGGAACTGTCGTTTTTCAACTCGTGTGACCCTCGTTGGGAGGTCATGTTCTTGGTTCTTGGTTCCTTGGTGTGAACCCCAAGACCTGGTTCCACGAACGCCGTGAGCAGGTGGGAAGAGCAGGTGTGTGGGGTCCAGCTGGCCCCGTGGTGGTCCCTGCTGGTCCCCGCTGCTGGGCAGCCAGGCACATGCCCGTAGGGGCCTGGCCGTGAGCAGCCACGTGTCAGCATCCCGGGGCAACCGTGCTCAGGGTCTCCTCGGTGCCCCCGGAGCCCCAGGAAGGCCAGATAAGATGGAGGTGATGGTGTGTGGCCTTCTCCCAAGGGGCTCGCATCAGTCTCATTTTCTGTGTCGAAAGCTGTGTTTTTACATGATGGCCACCCAGTGTCTGGCTGGATGGGAGCAGGCAGTGAACTCCCCTGGCTTCTCCGTGCCCTGAGCAGAGGACGCGCGTCCGGAAGGATGGAGACGGAGCCGCTGCAGCTCCCTGCGTTAACTAGATTTGGAACCCTCATGAAGATGCACAGAACAGTTGGATTATCTTCTGTGGGATGCGGTGGTGATGTAAGTCCGCTTCCTGTGCGGGAGCCGGAGACACGGAGAGGGGGCGTGGCCTGGGCGGGGAGGCGGCGCCCAAGCCGGTGGTGGGCGTGTGAGTGTGCGGTGCGTGGCGCAAGAGAGCTCCGGCGTGGGGCTTGAGAGGGGCCTCCCAGGAGGACTTGCAGTTGGCTGGGCTCGTTGTGTTCTTGGTGCTAAGTGGTATGTGAAGGCAGAAGGTGCAGGCGCAGCCCCTGTGGCGCGTAGGGTGGGTCATTTCCTGGATGAATAGGCTCGTGGTAAAACAGGTGCACCCGGGAGGGGCCCGGGCTCTTCCCTCTCAGCCGTGTCCACAGAGGCTGTGCCATGGGGCTGAGGCTCAAGGACCACATCTCCCTCTTAAGGCCACTGTTCTGTGGGCTGCTATGGAGTCAGTGGCACACCCAGAGCAACCTCTGCGTCCTGGGGTTCCCAGATGGGTGCCCCCGAGAGCAAGAAGGGCCGTGTGGTCATGAGAAGCCTCCCTACAGCCCTGCAGACTGCTTGACTCACTCGGACACCATGAGGTGCAGGGATGAGGGGTCAGACGCTTGCGGGGACCCAGCTCCCCCGAGTTCATTTGTAAGACTGCATTGGGGTTGGGGGGGCTCCAAAGCTGCCTGCTAGAGGGGTACATGCCTACATGGGACACCTGCTGTGGGCCCGGTCTTTCAAATCTAGCCCTGAGACTGCTGGAATCACACCTCGCCTTACAAATGCTGGGACCTTTTCCTGTGGTTTCGGTGATAACCTGTGGCCTCACAGGGGTTATTTTAAACAGCCTCACGTGTCCTGGGTGCGTGTTCGTCCGGGCACCAGGCTCCCCGGTGGGTACGGCTCCTCAGCTCTCTCAGCCCGAGGCCTCCGTGGGGAGGGCCGCCCGGCCCTGGGCACAGTGTCCTCATTTCCCACAGACCCCCTCGGCGAGCCTGGCTTTTACTCAGCAATGGGAAAGAACCGGAAAGTGTGTCAGGGAGTTGTGTCCTGCGCACTGTCAGCCAGTGCTGTGCGTGGAGGAGGCACCCCGCTGCAGCACGGCCGGCAGGACCTGCACCCGGCGGGTCCCCACCGCCAGCGATCATCCTGGGGGCATGGGTACCTCTGGCATCCGTCTCTCTCCTGTCTGAGTGTTCAAGGAGACTTTGTTCCTTAGTTGATGCTTGCTGCTAAAACGGGCACACACCTGCCGCCCAAGTCAGGAGCAGTAATAGAACTGGTGGCTAAAGGCCGTCTTCGCGGGGAGAATCGAGATGACACAGGCGGGGTCACCAAGCAGAGTCATCTCCGAGGCGGTGGGAGGGGTGGAGGGGTGTGTGCACCCCCGGAGGCTTCCGGGACCCCCCGCAGATGCCGTGGCACAGGAAGTACGGGAAGCGGCACGCATCCTCGCAGCTCCGGCTGCCTTGTGATGCCTCTGACGGCGTCACCGCTGGGTAAATACTCGCTCCGGTGTGCTGTTTACAGAATCGTGACAAGGAGCGAAGTATACACATGTTCCATACAGGTGCCGGTCTTTCCAGCAGCTTCCTGTCTGTAGTCAGTTGGCTCTCTGGATACGGAGCCCGCGTGTGTTTGCCATTTTCAGACTGGCTCACGTGCTGGCCTCCTCCTGAGCAGCCTGGCCCTCTCTGGGGCTGGGGCAGTGGGCAGGACAGGAAGACAGCTTTCCCCACCAGCCAGGGATGAGCAAGGACACACGGTCCAGGCTGGTTTTCATGATAGCAGAAGAGGATCCGAGAGCCGCAGTCAGAATTTTGGGGAAGGGTCCACCCCCCAAGGATAGTCCCATCAGCTGCCCTCTGAGGTCGTCTCAGGGGGAGCAGGAGGTCAGAGGTCAGGGGGGAGATATGGGGGAACTCCTAGATGTGCCATGTGTGTTGGCATGTGCCCGGGCATCCTGTGGTACTCATGTCAGCCTACTCTGCGGAAGCCTGACCAGGCAGCCGAGTCCTCTGGGCCTATGAGTCACTCGGGGCCTGGCCCCTGACTGCCCTGCTGAGTTAGAACCAGTGAGAGCCTGACCACCTCTTCCCCCTGCCCAACGCAGGCTGGCATTTGAATCTCTTCTTTGCCTCATGTTGCAAGTGCACTTGCTGGGCCCAGTCAGTAGCAGGTGCCAGGCTAGCCTTGTCTCGGGACCACAACTGGCTCAAGCAAGCTCTGCCTTTAGAACTCTACTCTCTGAGTTTCATTTATGACTTCAGTAACATACATCTGAATAAGTGCTGGGCATGAGGGTCACAGGTGCATGTCCACAGCATACACTGAAGGCCTGGCACACTTGGGGGGCATAGTTGGAGCATCCCCTCCCTGGCGCTGCGCCCTGCCATCTGATCCTCATGGTAACCCCTGTTGTCGTCTCCACTTCCAGGCACACAGGGGGCACATGCCTCATTGACGGCCATGGCTGGTGGGTGCCCAGGCTGGGTGGGCCAGGGGCCCGGGGGGTGCAGCCCAGGCCCGAGAGCCACTTAGCTATGTTTATTGAGTAGAAGCTAGAAGCTAGAGCATGAGGCACCAATTCCTATTTTCGAATTAGCAGACTTTTTTATTAGTAGTAGTAGTGGTATACCAGTGTGGGAGACTTGTAGTGCTAGGTGAAAAACACAAATCGCCGTGAACTTTTAGGGATCACTTGACAGAATGAATGAGAGCCGTGAAGCAGGCATGCGGCGTCCTGGGGGAGCAGTGGAAAGCCGGGCAGCCATCACGGTGTCGTGGAAAAGAAGGGGCCGACGAACATCTGCCGTGGATTTGTAAGGCAGCATTAAAACTGTGCTCGCGAGGAGCTCTTAATACCAGTGGGAAGTGGTTACGATACATTTAGTGCAAACGGCAGAATCAAAACGATGTGCACTTAAGTAATACCTCGGCTCCCGGGATGCGCGCAGAGCAAGGCAGGCAGGCTGTCCAAACCCCGTGACGATGGCGGCACAGTAATCCCTCTTTCTCTCACGCTTGTGTGTTCCTCAGACTTTCTAGAAGAGCAGCATTCATTGTTAATAAGCAGAAACCCATTTCTTAGAGGGTAGGCGTGCATGGTGCGACTCTCAGGCTACTGCTTAGGGCCCCCACATCCCGCACGGGCCGGCCTGGGTGGCTCCGCTGCCAAGTCCAGCTAACACACAGCACGATGCGTTCCTGGGAGGGAGCAGGTGGTGGTTCCACCGCTGGGCTTCTGCCTATGCTGAGTTCCTGGCTGCTGGCCCGCCCACTAGGGAGTGAACCCACTGATGGGCGTGCTCTGACTCCCTCCGTCTGTCCCTCTGCCTTCCACATAAATGGATAAAATCAGACAGCAACAGGAAGGTGCATGTCCTAGGGGAGCCCCAGGCCCCAGGCCGAGGTGTCGGGGCTTGCTCGGTGAGGGAGGCGTCCTCCGGGAGGGCCTCGCCTTTCTCCCCTGGCCGGCCTGACGCGGAGTCCCCAGGCCGGCCTGACACGGAGTCCCCTGGCCGGCCTGACATAGGGTCCCCTGGCCGGCCTGACGCAGGGTCCCCTGGCCGGCCTGACGCGGAGTCCCCTGGCCGGCCTGACATAGGGTCCCCTGGCCGGCCTGACGCGGAGTCCCCTGGCCGGCCTGACGCGGAGTCCCCTGGCCGGCCTGACATAGGGTCCCCTGGCCGGCCTGACGCGGAGTCCCCTGGCCGGCCTGACGCGGAGTCCCCAGGCCGGCCTGACGCAGAGTCCCCAGGTCTCCTGTATGCTTGCAACTGTTTTCTTTGCCCTGAAGTGGCCGATCTTAATTTTGTGTTCACTTCTCTAAATAGGTTTTTCCTCAGTTAAAGCAGGCAGGGCAAGCTTC